GCCTGAGCTCGTCCAATCAGTGCTCGAGTTGGTAAAAATGGTGAGAGTGAAAATTGTCTTCTACTAGTGTAGGCTTTCATCTATCGAGAGTAGTAGACAGAGCTCATATATAGACGCTCGGTATGTCTCTCAGTCTTATTCTTGAATAGCAGTCGAGTAAGCACCATTATCACTAGTAAAAGTGCCATAAATACGATGAAGTAAACAGAAGAGAAGGGATTCCATTATGTCTTGCCTATAGTCACCATACTTGCTCTGGTAGTAGGTTCAATTGTTGCAATTTTTGCTTACTCAGAGTTCTTTTGATCTTATCTTCTGTCAACTTTCCTACTCCTCCGTTTTGTTCTATACTCAATCTTATAATGCTTATAGCGCATATACTAACTATATTGATTTGGATTAAGCTCATTATAATCAACGGGTTCCTTGTTATCGCTATTATCGTCTCAACGATCTTTAGATTTTGCAGAACGAGATACTAATAATCCAAATTTTCTACGATTACTTCTCTTCTTTTTACGGTATCTATTATTGTTATTATTGCGATTATCGCGATTAGTCCTTCGCCCTTTGTTTCTAGCTTGTCTGCCACTACGAGGTTGCCTACGACCACGCTGTTGTCCTTCTCCACGAGTGTAGTTTACAGTTGCTGAGGTCTCTCTCTTATCATAGACTTGCAGTATAATAATCGCTTTATCGAGTGTACGCTCGGCCTTTGATAGACAAAAAATATAATATTTCGTGCCCTCGTAATTGCTATTCTCAAAAATAGTTATTATAATTCGATTTAAGATCTCATCATCGATGATTAGTCTCTCGGTCGTTGCAAACTGAAATTTGTAGAACTCGAGATGATCTGCGAATTCTTTGATTCCTTTAAAAGTCTCGAATTTTTTTTGTTTAAAGTTCGTTCGTTGAATGGACACTTAAATAAAATCAACGATTTTATCGTATTTTTTGAGTTCGTTTTAGATTCCCTTGACATCTTCGAAAAAAACTAATAGAAAAATCTTGTCTTGTAGTTTGTCGTCTACGCTATTTGAGATGATTTGAATAGCTTTAGTAGCCTTCTTTTCCCAGGCCGTAATCCGATTAATTGACGCAAGAAAGGCCGGTTTCGGTTTTTTACTATTAACTAGTTTTATGGCATAAATACTAGCAAAAGCGACTAAATAGGAGTTCTTGAATCGAGGATAGTTATCCCCTGTGAGGATTTCAATCCTACTTTACTTGCAGACGTAGTGAGATGCTGTAGAGGTAAGTGCTGTAGTACCGATTGAAGCTGTTAGAGTCGCTATAGCGAATAGGATTGATATTTTAAAGTAAAAAGATACGACGGTTTCAATGAGCACCTTCCGGGCTCATAACCTGTCAATTTGAGTGATATATTCGATGGATTTGATGGTCTGGTTGATTGATTAAGGTAGTGAGATCTAGCTAGGTGCGGGGACATTATATCCATTGCAGTGCTTACTCAGCACTAAAACCACTCGAAAGTCTAACACTCCAGACCCTCTAATCCACTCTTTCCCACTGTCCTGCCATCTGCACTCACGCTCCAGCCCACATTCCCATATAACACATTGACAATTCCTTTCACAGTAGCAGGTAAAGAAATCGTCACCGTTCCTTGGGAAGGAACGTATTCTTTGCTCGCGACTCCGATCATCATTTGCGTGCCGACGATCCAGGCACTGGCGTCCACTAGAGGTTCGCCTGAGACGGGGAGGTTCTTGATTACGTGCGAGGAGAAGAGGAATTAAAAAGCGAGAAGTTAAAACACGTGACGATGTGGTAAATCTTGTTCAAAATACTCAAGTCTACTTAAATAAGCTGTTTAGGGTGCTTAAGTAAGTTGCTTAGGGCTTAGGGTGCTTAAGTTGCTCGGGTGAGTTGCTCAGGTTGCTTAGGCGAATTGATTAAGTCGAGGGTGATTAGCGCCTGAGCAAGAGCGGCAAGCTCACTAACCGAAAGTGAAGGCAGAGAGAGAGAAAATTAATCGACAATACCCCAACCTTTTAGCAAGTCCAAGCCTGTATAACGCTAAATTTATAGTAATGGAGGCTACTTGCCTCTGCGCAAAATACGCTACTGGTCCTCTGTAATTTTACCCCGCGCTTCTGAATTTTTCCTCTTCTCCAACTTACAACCACATTGTCAATCGTCATCTATGGCAGATGTTGTTTGTTGCGACAGTGCTGAATTATGGGTTCGGATATGAGCCAATCGCGTGAAATGCTCGAAATAATAAATCACAGCTGGGATCATGGCATCTCGACGAAGTCAACATATCGCTGGCAAAGTATGCGATGCCTGTCGAGATCGTAAAACCAAGGTGAGCGAACTCTTTCATTCTGAAATCTGGATACTGATTAAACGCAGTGTATATGGACGGACGGGATGCCGTGTGATGAATGTGTGACTACTGGAATCCTGTGCACCTTCTAGACGAGCCGCAAGAGAAGAGGACGACGCTCAACGTCAGTGGCCTGCTTTCTTTGCTCCTCTTTCTAACGAAATGTGTCAGGGTACTTGAAAAAAATGCTGGAAATCAGGAGAATCAAATGCCCTACGTGCCATCCCAGGCGAAGAACTCCATGCTCAGCCCTTAGCCATCGCCACACGAACATCAAAGTCGAACACCTATGTCCAATGCCTACATCCACCTGGCCATCTTGATCAGGGTCTTCTTATGCGTACTCGGTCTCCCCTCCGCACACCCATCCAATCCATTTTCACACCAGACTACTGCACAGTCCTCTCGGAGTCAGTTTCTTTCTCCAGCATCCCTTCTCCGGACCTTCAATGCCCTTTCCTCCGTCCCAGACGACCTCCCGTCCGATCTCTCCATTCATGAACCCCAACCACCTTCGCAGCAAGAAACAAAAGCAATTCACCACTTCAATATCACGAAATAAAATGTCCACATCACAAAACTCTAGCTCCAATCGTGGATTCTCGATCGCTACCTCAGTCTCCTCCCATCTGCCACCTCGCCACAGTCGCCCATCACTGCCCTGACCGAGGCACAGCGATTGAAAAGCTACAGACAAGAGATTAAGAAGCAGGCACTACAAGTGCTGAACTATTGCTCGCAAAATAAGTTAGAAAGCCATGGCGAGAGTATAGTAATAAAGATTCGGGAGATTGCTACAAGTTTGCTGGAGCAGGGGCAGGAACAGGAGCAAAGTGGGGCAGTTCGACAAGAGTGTGTGATTGGGAGCACAAGTAGCGATGGCAATGAGGAGATTTTGAATGGCTAGGATTATACCATAGCGTCGTTCTTACAAATTCTGGCGAGTTTGGACTATGCGAATCGGCAGGCTGTTGAAAGTGGCTAGAATTTCGATTCTTTCTAAAACGATACTGCATTATCTATCTGTACGGAAGGTCACATTTGCTTTGCAGGGTCAAGAACTGTTTGGACCTTGGAAAGAAAATTGTTCCCAGATGCACACCTTTTCCATCATGCAAATAATAGCGTTCCAAGCCCTACGCAAGCATGCTCCAGACTTTTATGCCAAAAAAAAAAAAAAAGGCTGCTGAGAGCACAGACAGCTGAGAAAGGCTTCTGATTAAATGCTCTCATTTGCGATTAGATTTACTAAAAATGAGAGCAAAGAGGGGCAATTTGAGGCTCGGCGCAATACGGCAAGCTAAAAATCCACTCCTCATTTCCCAAAAAGTATTCAATCTTCTAAAAGTTCTCTACCTTTGCCTCTCTCCTCCTTTCTTACTTGTGCCTAAACACCCGCCCACACCTATTATACCTATGCATAAGGACTTACTTAAACCAAACTTTTGATTTTAGAATGATTCCTTTTATCCTCGTTTTTTTAACGTTAATATTCAAAAAAGAAAAAAAAGAAAAAAAAAATTCAAAGTGGACATTTTCAAGCTTTATAGTTGGCTTTTTTTTTTTAAAAAAAAAAAAAGTCTGGAGTAAAAGTCTAGAGCACTGCTTTCGTAAGGAAGCTTGCATAATACACTCTCGTCAACACTTTCCCCAATCCTGCGAGCAAAGCATTACAAAGCCACCATCAAACCACCCGCAACCGGTAACAAGACCGCCACCAAGGACCTGGACTTGATATCTCCTTCACTGCACTCACACCCATGACTGCAGGGATAGTAATTGCAGCAGTTTTTGGTGCCTGAGCATATATACTTTTCGAATGTGATGTTTCTCAGTTTGACTAGATAGGAAGTCTGTCCAGTTGTGATAAAATCGTTTCCTTCAAAGCAGGCATGGAGCTTGAGATGGCTGCGATATCAGAACTTATGGCCAGCAGTAGAATGATGCAGGACCGCATGGTTGGTAATTTGTCTGAAAATCCCGAGGCGGTTTGGTCTTGAAGGGCACTAGGAAAGTTGTTCAGAGTACGGCAGTGGGTGGGAATTTTATACCTGCCTCTCATGAAATCGACCATTCAACGATCGATTGCACTTTGTAGTTCATCTCGTCAAATTTCGATCTCATTGCTAATACACGTTCGAGTAGTTCCAATTCCCCTCGTTGGATAGATGGATAACTTGACAATTTCGGGGATGCTATTGCTGGGGTTGTGAGGCATTTTGATGACTTCTTATGTCTGATATCAACTAGCTACCTCGTTGTTAAGGTGAACGATGTCTTTAGATACAAATAGAATAAAAGCAGAGTCGAGTCGCCTTAGTGAATGTAAGAAATCAAAAAGTCCGACGACTCAAGGTTACGAAGAAGAGGGCTAACAGAAGTGCAGGGCTAATTGTGCTCTTTTGTCATTCGTGAGCTTCTATTCAATCGTGCCTTTCTCCTTCAAAGTCCCTCAGCTCCCCCATTCGAGGCCCCAACCTCGCTCGCTAAAAAGAAGCACTAACGCAGCGCCACATACTCGCTAAACTCCGCGCTGAAAAAAAATTTCTTGCTGCGGACAAAATCTCAAGTACCTCGAACAACATAAAAAAAATGCAAAAAGGGATGTATCCAGGTAAACCTAGGGACATGAACTCTAGAGAATCTCTCTGACGGGGAGTCGAACCCCGATCTCCCGCGCTTCTCGTGAAGAGTCACATGACAAGCGGAAATCATGACCGTTAGACCATCAAAGATGAGTAGCTGATTGGCTCCTCGAGCCGATTAGCATCTTGAGCTGATAAGCTCATTGATGCTGCAGTTTTGTTAATTTAAATCTATATTCTCTTTTGTGCGGGCAGGGATCGGAGTTCGACTTTGGTGGGGAAAGTGGGGGCAATCGCCAGAAGAGGGTCCCGACGATACCTGGATTTCAACAACATATTAAAGAAAGGTATCTGCCCTTCGAGTATTTTCTCGTGATTTTCAGTCTTCTTGGCATTCTATCGAAACTTTTCTTAGGAGATTAATTGATCATATTTCAGTATAGAAAATCTTGGTGATAGCACACGTGATTGCCTCTCCTTAAAAACCACAAGGGTCCAGCTTTTGTTGCACATCGCACCAAGATCCTGAGAAACACCCGGTGAAATACCCTGTGAAATACCCGGTGAAAGTCCCGGGGCTGAGAGGAATACCCGAAAAGAATCCTACGGCTGACTCCGACTTCAAAGCCTCGTTGTTTCTCTTGGCGGTGAAGGATGGTAGAGAGGTGAAAAAGTCGAAGAAATTTTGCATTCTCTTATGGAAGTTCGTGATAAATAAACTTCAAGCATGACCCCTCGAGTCAAGATTGCATAGTCGAACGTGTAAGTACATGGATGAATGTTCTGAAATTTCTGATTAGGATGGTTGATGAATGCCACCCACGATTGAGTGATGGATCTACAATGGAATCACCTTCTCCATGGACGTCAACTTTCGAGCTCGACAAAGAAGAAGAGAAAGGTCATGCATATCATAGAAACAAGTCTTATGCATGGTTGGTGAAGTGTTGATGTTTCATTGCTACATTTTCCTTCAGGTTTCATGGTCTTTCCCTCATTTCGGCCTCCAAGCACATTTAAAGGTATCGCTGCTAAGCGGCACCACTTTTGCCTAGCCTCTTGCTCTACTGTTCATTGAGTGTCGAAATTCCTGACTTGTAGCGCTGCAATCAAGTCCTGCTGCCTCCTGGAATGTAGGTTGTCGCCGCGAACAGCGTCGAAGCAGAGTTGGTCAAAGGTGTCATGCTTACTATGCTCGACGTCAAGATTTGCTATCCCCTCGTCGGCGTCTATACCATTCAATGGCTCGAAAACTTTCGCCGCGAGCTCCTTTACGACTCCTTCGAGTAGTTGGATGTTGATATTGCTTCGAATGGAGTTCGATGTCGTGACCTGTCAAGCGTGTCAACCCCAACAAGAAGTACTTGAATGCTGCAGCACTAGAAGGGCGATGATGACAGATGCACTGGAATTCTTTGGTTAATCGTGAGGTGACGCCATACCTAGTGGTTTGCTGAAAGAGAAGTCCTTGGTGACTTGGATCGCAGCCGGAAGACTCTGTCATGAAATTGGAGGAAGTTGTCCGTCTGGATGAAAGCATATTTTCCTGTACATCTCAATCCTTGACATCTGCCCCTCGTTTAACTCTTCTATATGATATCCGTGAATTGCAAGCAACAGCATCGACCGAAGAGTGTAGTTCGCGTCGTTCCCAGCATTATGAAAGCCCCTACCTCCCATTTGCATTCCTACGTTCTCCGTAAGAGCCTGGAGACTGCAACTCCTTCCCAAGACAGCATAGCCCAGTTAGTATGTATCGAAGACTTGCACCACCGAATCTGCCTCCGTCACATCTATATCGAATGATTTCATGATCTTGATCTCTGTATCAACGGTGTGACCCACCAAGATAACTTTGCGGGCAGGAACAGAGTCTCCAATCGTTGGGAAAAGACGACGTGTGAGAAGGTGGCATGGTTCATCTGGCGCCGCGTGGATGGTGGAGCCGAAGAAAAATCTTATATCGTCATCTGTACGGCATGTACGGTAGTGGTGTGTTTTGGTAATATTCCTGCAGTGTTTTCCTTCTCGCAGATCGCGAGTATCCAATGTCGAGATCCCCATCTCCCGTACTCGAAAGGACTTCCCAGAAGCTGGGTTAAATTCGAAGTCGATAGCCGTGAAAATAACGTCTAGAGGCAGGCGATCCCGGTAGGCTGAGGGTGAATTGCATATAGCCTTGTGATGACTATCATCTATGAAAAGCGCTATCCATGACCGAGCCACGTGATACCAGATCTGTGATACATGCTACCACAGCAGTGAGAAGACGGTTGACAAGCTCCATGAGGACACGGTTTTAGGCAAGCCTAACGCATCTTGTAGAGTCTCGAGATTACGTTGTTCGATGCGTCGTTGAAGCTGAAGACGATCCTTGTCTCCTTTCCATGGGTGTCGCTTCACAGTTGTTTGCGGGGATGACTTCTGATGAATAAGAACATGAAAGTTGCAGAAGAACCAAAGTTGGAGTTTGTGGGGCTCCGCAATAAGGTTCGCCGGTCCGGCTTTCTGAACCGAGCGGATGCTGCCAAGCGTCGAGGACAGATGCAACAGAATGCAGCTAGGGGACTGCTTGAACAGCCGGGGAAGAGAGCTAAGAAGAAAGAAGAAAAAAGGGTTGAAGTGTTCCCCTATAGGGATCAAACCTACGACCTCTGATATTAAGAGGGCCAGCCGTGCGGCGGGTTCACTGTGCAATACGCTCTCACCCGTCAAAGCACCCGTCGCGGCCGAGGGCTGGTGATCAAACGCGCTGCCACTGCGCCAACAGAGCAAATTGTGAGAAGTTTTAATTGGTGAGAGCCAATTCTGTTTTTCCAAATACATGAGGGCCTTTCGTCCCTACCTATGGCACTGGCCTGTGTGGGGGAATTGAAAAAGGATTGTGGGCATTGAGAATCGAGAAATGTGGGGGCAGCTAACTCAGCACCCCAAAACGGAAGAAGAGCAGGGCAGGGCAGTTGCTCGACCAAATAGATTTCGAGAGAGTGAATGCGGAAGTTCCGGACGGCGAGAAAGGAAAGCTTCAAGGTTAGAAGCGAAGACGGGAAAAAGCGCGGTTGAAGAATTTAATGTGATCCAATAGCCGCGGCCGCCTTAACCGAATTCCCGTGCCAAAGCACATCCCTGTCAAAAGCACATCCCACTAAAATATCACTCCTTAACTTTAAAATTTTATTATAAATCAATTACTCGTTATTTTAATTTGAAATTGAAAAAACAACTTAATATTTGATCAATTTAAATAGTTATAAACTTTATTTTGTATTTTTAAAGCGTTATAATAGTTTTATAGACCGTTTTTTTCTTTTAAACTACACTATTTTTAAGTCAAATATCGATATTTTTAGTGTAATTATTAAACTTTTAGAAGTTTTGTTTTACTTCTTTTGAAAACTAGTAAATAGTGTACTAATTTTAAGAGTCTTTAAAACAGGTTTTTTAGAAAATTTCATTATAAATTTCGATTTAATAAATAAAATAAAAAAAATTTTTAAAATAGAAATCAATATCGTTTTTAAATTTTTTTGTAATTGAATAGTAGTTTGACGTGTTTTTTTTTTTTTTTTTTTTTTTTTTTTTTTTTTTTTTTTTTTTTTTTTTTTTTTTTTTTTTTTTTTTTTTTTTTTTTTTTTTTTTTTTTTTT